TTAGAGAGAGGGCGAATGAGCGCTCGCTTCCACTGAGACGGAAAAGAGGAAGATTCAAGCGACCTATTGAATAAAGCAGTAAGACACGACGAAATAATGGGCCATGCGATACGCAAAATGAAAAGCGGTATACCGTCCGAGCCTGACGCATAGGAATGGAGTGGTTTAGTAGAAATGAGTTTGAGGATAGTACAAGGTGATATGGTAGAGAAAACAAATTCTGGACGTAGAGAAGAGCGAGTAACCGGAGCAATGGCAGAAGCAAAATCTGTATACAAGCAAGGCAACTGAGCATTAGAAACCGACACATAAAAAGAATTTAGTTGATCAGGTGTAAAGTAATGTAGAGGAGAAACTGAGACTGATTTTACAAGACCAAGCCGAGCGAGTTCCTTCCATAGTTTTGCCGGATCATTGATGTTTTTAATAGAATTAAGTTGGAACTCACTTTTGGCAAGTTTAATATCAGTATTAAGTTGATTGCGATAGAGTCTGTAGGTAGCAAAGCCAAGTAAGCTCCTAGAACGCTTTGCCTGCTTGTATAACCGATTTCGAACACGGATCCGAGCCTTAAGCTCATCAGTAAACCACCGTAAAGGAGGCTTCCTAATGGTAAATGTACGCTCAGGAGCAAATACATCAAGAGTTCCAAGTAAGGTTTCGGATAGTACAGAACAAAGCCCATCAACTCCGGAGACTCGAGTCGGGTCATCGAGACCGGCACAACTACAATTCGTAATAGACTGAATACGCATCAGCACCTCAGGACTCTCCATGCAGGATTGAAGATGATCCCGGAACGCATCACCGTCGATACTCCGATAACTACGTCGTGAAATAGTTCGTTCAAAATTTAAGTTCGTGCCGAGTGAGAGCGACAATTCTATAAGATCGTGACCTGCTATAAACGGACATTCGGATTTAGTGAACGCTAGGATTTTTTCACTGTCATCCACTGCAAGAACATCCAGCCAGGAGTCTGCAGTAGATGTATGATACGTTGCATTCGAGTTTATAATATGCATAGATAAACTTGACATAAGTTCTCGCAAGTGGGTTGCTTCAAAGTTGTTCGACAAGAGATTGCAATTGAAATCGCCGCCTATGACAATATTTTTATACAAATGAGAGACTCTTGTAAGGGAATGAGAAAAGTCATGAAAAAGAGTTCCCTTAGGTCTTCTATAAACAGACGCGAACAACACCGTTTCATCACTCGGCAACCGAATCTCAACTATGATATATTCAGGATCATTAATATCAACTCCCTCCGAGGCCGCAACGAGCTTAACCTTGAGTGACTTATGTATATAACAGGCAACACCGCCTCCCATTCGCCCAACACGATCATGTCGAATCAAAAAGTAGTCACTCAAGGCAACGAGCTCATCCGAAATACCCTCATGTAGCCATGTCTCAGATACTGAAATGACATGTGTGGGGTTGTTGGTTAGGATTAGGTTAAGGTGCGTCGGTTCCCACAATAACCAGTCATTCAGTTAGGTAGAATCTCGCTAGGTTTATTCATGCTCTATGTACAGGTAAATTATTTCTTGGATGTGTACGGATAGGTGGACGAGTGTGATTTGTGTAGAACGCGGTGTGTTGCGTATTATCCGTCCCGAATAGTTAGATTCGCTGAGGCCGAGCTTGGAGAGGAGTCTTGACGTTCTCGTAGACGAGGCCGGTGAGTGCGTCACCACAGAGTGCTCCGGTTGGAGTTAGATGCGTGGCACTCGGGTTGGCCGGTCGGTGAATCTCGAAGACGAGGCCAGTGAGTGCGTCACCACAGAGACGTGTGGTACTCGGGTTGGCCGGTCGATGAGGTGTGGCTTTCACGGGAGGAAAGTATCCACCTTGGAGATCAGGAACAGACCCTTCGTCGTGGCCCCAGGTGTAGGAATCGGAGTCGGAATCGGAGTTGGAGAAGGCAGCGCCTTGGTCTCGGTGTTGTCCGGTGAGCTGAGTCGTAAACGACCCAGGAACCTTTCCACGGCAGGGAGTCTGTCGACTTTACCGCGGGGAGTTAATGCCCTGCAAAGCAGGTGTAAACGAAGGCCCGGAATGAGCACGCTCCGTATCAAACGGAGGCCCTAAAGAGTACGCTCCGTCTTCAAAAGAGATAATGTCAGGGGCCTTGATAATAGCACACCCTGACTGGTGAGCTGATCGCTGGAGAGGTCCCGCTGAGCTGCCCTTTATATAAGGATCGATGTCGAACCTTACTTACGAGAGAATCGACCGGCGATGCGCCGCGTAGCGGGCGCGCGTTGAACTGCCCGGCCGATCGATACCGTGCCGCTGCTCGCGCCGCGCGCCTCCCGTCTTACTGCCGTCGTCGCGCGCGCACCGTCGCGTTGTGGCGAACAGCTGACCGCCACAACATGACACGGGTTGGAACTAAAGTGAAGTCTGACAGGCTCAATGTGACCGCGAAGAGAGTTCGCATTAAACTGGGCAACGCAGAATTTAGATACATTATGATTAACGCTTATTTGAGGACGAGGCAGGCATGGTCAGTCAAGCTTAGCGAGATCGGCATAAGAATTGATATGAACAACGAGGCTACCATCCGAGCGTCGCACGCAAATCCGACCATCCCTGACCCATACATATCTATAAGACCGCTCCTTAGCAACTCGCTTTGTTTGCTGCAACAATTCATAAATCTCTTTAGAGAGCAATTCATTTACATTAATTGTACTATCGGAGTTATTACCACAAACCTCCCTCTGCCTAAGAATGCCTTTTACGCGTTTTTTTGAAATAATAACATCACGAACAGCACTAGAGGTAACAGTAATAATAAAAGAGCTACTAGCAGCAGCAGTCATAGGCTGATCCGGAGCGGATACTGAGAGAGGCCTGCGAACAGTTCTAACATTAAGTATATGCGGTAGAACAACGGAAGCATCAAGAGCCGTGAGCACATTCTGAACAACCTCGGACGGAGTCACAGAAAGCACCCCCGGCAGTCCCGACACTATAAGCTCATTCGCCACGCTAGTTTGCTGGACCGACCGAGCAGTTTGTAGATTTAATAATTGATTTTTAAGAGCAGCATTCTCCTGTTCAAGGCCAGCAATACGCTGAAAATTGCTAGCAACCATCTCAGAAATTGCACTCAGTTGATCAAGCTTGCCCGTGATTTCATCATTAGTCTTCTGCTGACTCTCAATGAAGGCAGAAAGCCTTGAATCAGATTTTTTTAACTGCTCGATCAATCCACGCAAAAGCTCATTAGTATCCGCTTGAGCACTGCTCTGAGTTCCAGAGAGCGAGACATTATTAACAGCAGCAGGTGACGAAGTAAGCGGAAAATTATATGATTGTGCACCATGTTCCTCCCTTGGCGTGATAGGCATAGCAAGTCGAGATTTACAACAGGCGCCCGCAGATTTAGTCACTATATACGCCTTGACACAGCCCGGATGGAATGCCCTGCTGCACTCACCACACGAAACCGATTGACCGACGACCAACTTACTACACCTAGCACACGTACGCTGCATGAGTAATCACAGCAAACTCACTCACTGTACAAGAGTCAGATAGTCGCACACAAAGTACAGTAGATATCACTAGGCGGTTATAAGTGTAGATTGAGGCGCAGAAAAGAGCAGATAAGATCAGCAGGACTGCGCCAGCACAGCTGAGGTTGGCACATGAGATCCAGCCAATGAGCGGACGGTAATTGTATCACACGCGTACCAACCGAAAGCAGACGAACAGAGATAACGCAATAGCCAGCGCATGCGTATCAGACCCACACCTTCCAACAGGCACGATGAACTCAGCAATCCAAGATAGGTTAGAAAAACCGGAGAACTTGTCACGCAGAATATAGCATAAAGGCGACAAGTAGGCAGGAAATTGAATGAAAATTCTCGAAATCAAGCAAAAGCTCATATATGCCTGCAACAAAAATTGCCCGAAGGCAGTCTGAGGCAGAGGTATGCTGCATCCAAGTGAGAACGACAAACAAACATGCACACGTACGCACCGAGAGAGAGAGAGAGAGAGAGAGAAACTATTTGCGTGTTTTAATACACATGTTCTCCGGGGCAAAGCCCGGCGGAACATGCTAGTTTTTATACATATAGACTAAAAAGTATCCAAATACTTACAGGGTCATCCATCGGAAACTTGTTTTCTGTTACACTTTTATTTATTATATCAGTCGACTGAGTCGACGTCTCGACGTATATACACACGATAATAGCGGATTCCGCTTTTCCGTTTAAACGTGCGGAACTCAATTCGCGGAAACGCGGAATCTAGTTACTATTCTGTTTCGCGTTTCCGCGTTTCCGCGCTTCATGTACTGTCACCCTGACGGTCATCGATGTGCTGAGCAAGTATGCCTGGGCGATCCCGCTCAAGAGTAAGAGCGGAAAGGAGGTCGCGACGGCTCTCCGAAAGATCTTTTGCGAGGACGCGCGACACCCTAGGAATCTGCAAACGGACAAAGGAAAGGAATTCTACAACGCCGACGTGCGCAAAATCCTCGACGGGCACAAGGTGAATCACTACACTACGTATTCGGTGATGAAAGCGTCGGTGGTGGAGAGATTCAATCGCACGCTGAAAAACGACATGTGGAAGCTCTTCACGCTCCAGGGATCGTACAGATGGATAGACTCGCTGCCGCGCCTCTTATCGAATTACAATCGTCGCAGACACAGAACGATCCGAATGCGTCCGGCGGACGTGACGCCCACCGTCGCCGAAAAACTGCTGCGCACGGTGTACAATCGCGCGAAGATCGCCGCGCCGGCGAGATTTCGAATCGACGATCCGGTGCGCGTGAGCAAATTCGAAACGATTTTCGAAAAAGGCTACACTCCCAATTAGACCACCGAGATCTTTCGCATAGCCAAAGTACAAAAGACCAATCCCGTTACGTATCTGCTGAAAGACGTTCGCGGAGAAGCGACAGCCGGAGGATTCTACGAACACGAGTTGCTACGCATCTCCAATCCCGACGTCTATCTCGTGGAAAAAGTTCTGCGTAAGCGCGACAATCGAGCGTACGTGAAGTGGCTAGGGATGGACAGTTCGCACAATTCGTGGATAGATAAGGCGTCTATATTGTAAAAAGAAATACTTAGACATTCGTAGACACGCGCAACGCGTACTTTATTGTTAATAAAAGCTTACACATTCATTTTGGTTTGTTTCTTACGTGTTATTGATTTTTACGATAAAACAATTTTCTATAAAACCTATGATATTGTTTCTTTCTTTTACAACGGTATTCCGTAATGTTCCGTAATGTAAAATTCCCCACGGAAGCATTTCCTCGCTGTTCAACGTCACGTATCGCTTGTCGTCATGCGGACTGAGGGCTAGTTTTTGCTTCGACACGGTGTAAACCTCGTGCAACGTCGAGCGTATGCACGACTGGCGCGTCTTCAGCTCGCGGACGTTCCGCAGGCACGCCACGTATTCCTCGAACGTGATCCTCTTCGCGACTACGTTTCTCTTAACACTCTTTATTCTCTTGGTGTCGTTGCGTTCGAGTACCTTGTAAGTGTACATCTTCGCTCTGAGGCCCACGAACTCCGTCATGATCACGCCGTTGTTCTCGTCCTTCATCAAACCGGGCACCTTCTTGTTGACGCGCGGCATACCGTGCGCGTTATTCTTCGCGTAATCGCTCGTGTCGAACCTGTCTATGTCGCGCCTCATACGCTCGTACGCGTCTTCGCACTCCAGCGAATAGATCAGACTGTCCGTATCCGTGTAAAGAATTCGACACCGGTCGCGATAGAGCGGCACCATGTAGTCGTAGTGAAACTTGTAAAGACGCGTCTTGGATATCTCGAGAATGCACATACCCACGTAGACCGGCTTGTTGAATTTTACCTCGAGCCTTCGCACCTCGATCGCGACCAGATTCTCCGAGAAGACGCTCCGCTGTAAAAGTTCGGCTTAGCGATCATCGCCTCCGCGCCGTATCTCCCGTCCCATCGCGTCACGAGACGCACGTCCACGTAATCGCGCACGTTTTTCATTGTCTTGCCGAAGACGGCATTGTTCATCAGTTTGTACAAATTCCGTTCGAACTCGTTGCTCGCGCGCGTCCTAAGCGTGGTGTTCAGCTCAATGTAGACGCAAAGCCACGGCGACTGGGTAAATCGCAGAACGCGACAAACGCGCGTCAGACGCATACCTAGTTGCAGACATTGCTGCAAATTTCGATAGTGCGTCACGTAGCGCGATTTGTCGTAGAGAGTAGCGAGCAGTTTCTCCTGCCGCTTACCGGGCAGTTTATCGCGCGTCGGGCACAACGGTAGGTCCGCGTGGGCGTCGTGCAGGTCCGCGGATACTCGAGATCCACCTCCAGAATGTAACCGACGTCGCTGTCCGCCGGCACGGTCGTCACGTCGAGATTCTCAGGGTCGTCGAGCCACCGGAAATTCGCGTACGGCAACAATTCGCTCATAGCCCATCCGTACAGATTGTTCACGTCGTATTACATGAGATACGTAGTGGGCTGGGACGAGTCGTACGTCGGTACGTTCCTGTTGTTGGCTCGCACGTACCTGAGCGAACATTGACTGAGGCCGCCGCGTATTCCGCGTTCCACGAACAGCACCATGTCGATGTCGGTGAGCAGCTCGAAACGCACGCCGGTGTACCTCAACATGACGTCCCACGTGTACCCGGGCAACGTATAATAATGCGTGGGATTTAGCCCATAACTCGCTAAACACGCGACCCGAAAATTTTCAAAGATATCCGCCAGAAGAAGCACGTCGGTCTTGAGATACAGATCGCTGTACTCGCCGAGATCTCGCACGCGAAAACGTTGCCAGACCCTCGTCGCGTGCTCGTAGTCGCTCTCGCTCACGGTCTCGTCCGTCAGGGAGCTGTAAAAGACCTCGCGCGGCGGAAGCTCGGTCTCCCGCAGTTTGTCCGCGCTGTCGACGTACTCGTACGGAAATACTCTCTTGCAAGTGAGCAGATCGAGATCCTCCGTGTTCAAATCCGCGTACTCCGAACGCGTTATTCTCAGCTTGTCTTTGTTCAGATAGGACGCCAGAGTTTCGATACTCACCGCTAAAAATTTATACGAGTCCACGAATCGAAGCTTCACGTACCGATCCCATCCCCCGTCCGTCTGCGTCTCCTTAACAATCTTCGAGAAAGATATGTAACTTTCCTTCGTGAGCGGCAGCAGATTAACCCCGTCCTCAAAATCATTCGCAATTTTCTCGACGATGAAGTGCACGTCGTAACCCGACAGATTGTGAAAGAACACGGGAATCACGTAAACGTTTCTGTAATTCAGATTGCAACAAGAATGCGCCGGACCTCTGTAGCGTCCGAGTAGGTGACAGTGATCTCGCACGCGCTTGTCCCCAGATTCGAACGCTTTCCCACACACGTGACAATGAGCCGCGAGCCAAAATTCGCGTTTCTCGTCCTTCGTAAGTTCCACCATAGCTATATTGGTGCAAAATTTATTCTTAACGCGATGCGCGAGAACGCGAAGCTCGTTCACGAACCACGAAACGCAATCCTCGCCGCGACGATATCTGTACGTGGACGCGGTATCGTCGTAGGTGCAGCACAGATAGTAGCCCAGGCTGAACGGTACGTGACGCTGATAAGCGTATCTTTCGCGCCCCTTTCGACGTTTTTCCTCTCCCGTTGTTTGAGAAGACACTTCAGATCCGCGTATACCACGAAGGGAAGTCGCTCCTTTCTGTTGTGATTGTCGAACGACAGCCACTTATCGTTCTCATTCGGAAGAACGATGGCGCATTCGTTCATTCGGCCGCAGTCGACGCTGTGGGCGGCCAACTTATCGCGCGTATAGAAATAGTGTAGACATCTGCGAAATAACGTGCGTGCAATTACTATGCGTACATAAAATAACACCTCGTCTTTTCCTTATTCCTCATGTTTTTATTTCATTTCTTTTACCTACCAATCGCAAACGTGCTTTGCGCACCGTTTCGCGGTCAATTGCGAATTCACCAATTGCGACAGATTTTTTATCCAGGATTTTTTAACCGCCTATCTCTCTTATCGTCGGTTAACCGCAGAGGCACGATCGCATTGTCGTCGGCGCTCCGTCCGAACTTAGTTTTCTTTTCAATTCCTTCCCGAGTTGTAAATACGTTGATCGATACGCCGTCCTGACGTTCAAACTTTCCGATCTTTTTCAGATCCATGGGAAAATCGATCCCGTCGAGATTCAGCACCGTCGCGTAATCGGGATACGAACCGCATCGTTCCGCGTTCCGTTTAGCGGAATAAAAAGCAGCGACCACCGCGCGCGCAAAACACGTGTCGTTCTCCAACCGCACGTCAGTGATGTGAATCCGGCCCGGTTTTTCGCGCATGCGCCTCTCTCCACTGCGCACACAGAGTGACGCTCGGTCTATCGGTGTCGGCAGCGCTCGGCAGTGCCGAGCGAGAGGGAGAATATTACTCCCTCCTTGTCGCTCTCACTTAGCTCGTGCGATCGACGATGTTTTTACGCTGGAAATGCTTTCTCGGTATCTCGGCGTGAATCTGAGTTGCCGTTGCACGATAATCAAAGAACGATCTTTAGAATAATATAGAGATGTAAAAATAATTAATAAACATAAAAAAATTGTAGTAAAAAATGATGTTGATCCCTCTTGCAGAAATTTTCATGCTTTGACCTATACGATCCTATTATTTTGACAATTTCTTTCCGAAAAAAATTCCGTAAAAGAGAAGACACGTATTTTTTTGTTTGGCCTACAATTAATATTTCCGAGTGTAATATTTGTAAGAAATTGAATTTGTTGGTAACTGTTACTTTTAAGTTAATTAATATCTTGCAAATATTTAATTTTATATATACGTACGGGGTATTTTCGTTAACAAATATATTTATATAAAAACTATATTTTATATATTTATTTATGTCAAATAATGATACACATTTAATAATGATTCACATTATTTAGTTGCACATTTCGGGCCGATTCCCGAGGCGACGCCGACGCCTTTTATACCCCCATTACCGCTCGAGGCTCAGCGGCCGAGCCGCCGATCGCTCACGTGACGCGTAATCTCAGGCGAAGTATTCTCGCTATTTGTAGAATAAATTTCAATCTACCTTTGTTTTATATGATTCACGCTTGTTGAAGTATAAAAAAGTGTAATTTTTACATGTAATATTTATATATAATGTATGTGAGGTACAAGAGGGTGGCAGTGTGGTAAAGCGCCAGACTCGTAATCCCGAGGATCGGGGTTCGAGTCCACCTGACCACAGAAATTTTTATATTCCAAACTGCACCCCCCGCACGAGTGAGGCTCGTGCGGAGAAACTGGGCTATCTTTCGGAGGAGAAATTAAATTTGAAATTGGTCGTCAAGCTTGGGGAGCTTGGGAGTTTTGGCACTGTGCATGACCTCAGTATCATTATCTTAACAAAACACGTATTTTCCCATTCTGCATACAGGGTAAAATCGCTCTTGTCCACTTGATTCACGAGCTGACTTACGCTCACGTTAATCATGATAACCCAGAAAAAGTACAAGGCAAATGCCTTGTCCTGATCAACAGGACTCTTTAATGTATTCGAAGGAGAAATGTATTTCGGAGGAGAAATGGGGAATATAAATTTGAATGTACTTTTTTGTATTTAGAAGTAACAGAAATTTCATATAAAGGTCTTTCTCCATAGTGGTCTTTTTATTTATCATCTTTTCTACATCCGCGATCAGCTTTGTGTTGGTCATTTTTGATAAAGTTCTAACGACTGCTTTAATCACAAAATCAAATTTTCGAAAATCGTTAGAACTTCGTTAGAACGTCGTTAGAACTTCGCGTATTTATTCGCGGGGAAGGGAAAGTGGGGTACCGCGTTTTTCGGGCGCCGCGGGGAAGGATGGTACCGCGTTTTCCGGCGTCGCGGGAGAGGGGAAAAGGGGTACCGCGTTTTCCGGCGTCGCGGGGGAGAGGGAGGGTGGTACCGCGTTTTTCCGGCGCCGCGGGGGAGGGGTCCGCGGGGTGAGGGGACCCGCGTTCGCGTTTTCCGACGCCGCAGGGCGAGGGGACCCGCGTTCGCGTTTCGCCGCGCCGCGGAGTCCGCGTGCAACGGC